TCTCTTAAGGTCACGTGCCAGGGGCGCTTGATTGGGCGCTACCTTGTGGGTCACGTGATGTGTCGATTGGCGCAGACAATCGATAAGATCCTTGAGCGCTTAGCTGATCATCAATGATGTCGTGTGGCTTTTGTGGCTGGCTTTGGTGACGCTGCTTGAGTCCAGTTACAGTAGGGCCTTCCGAATAGGGAAGTGCTAATATACTGTGACAGTGTAGGCACTATGGTTCACGGTGAGGAATGCGATTGCATGGATGTTTCGTTCGAGCACAAGCCATCACCATTGCGAGTGTAGAGACATGCGCTCGGCGCCTTGCTGCGTACTGCTCCAATGAGCTTCTCGAATGGTCCGTGACTCGAGAACAGTCTCACGAGAGTCAATAGAAGGCAGTTCAAATGTAAGTGTACATGCAGGAGGAATAAGTGCAACGTGCCGAGGTTGGGCCTCCTCCGTGCAGACTGGAGCTAGTTCATTAATGAACGCCAATTGTGGCTCTTAAGATGCACCGGAAGTCATTCGAAATTGTACATATATTGATCATCAGACTTGAAGAACTACAGAAGGCCGGGCATCAAGGGGAAATGTACCCACGAGATTGCCTTCGCGCGACCAGACAGCCATCGATCGCGCGCTGATCTGCAACGTTTCGTGTCACGCGTCACTCACCGATGGGCCCAGAATCGACGAACCGAGCTGAGCTGACTGGGTCGACAAGTTCCCCGGAGGGAGCCCGGAGCTGCGAGATGATTCGCAACGTCGGCGTGGGTGCCTCCAACTGAAATTACACCCTACCCTGGAACGGAAGTGAGAACCTGTCAGATTTGGAACTCCGCTATGGTGGCAGTGGCGCCCTCTAGGCTTGGGCTTATCTCTTGCTCTCCTGCACAGCTCGGCTGTATGCCGGCCCTTAATATCGTATGTCGTCGCTTCCTCAGACGATTTTATAGGTCTGCCTAGGGGAGACAAATGCCGGCCTGTACGAGATGGTAAGATGTCAAAATGGGTACTGCCATGCTCCATGTCCCGTGCCACTCTGACCAGCCTTGCGCAACATCGTGCAGGTGATGCACAGGTAACCAGTCAAAAAGCTGTGAATTCAATCTGTGCCGGCGATTTTCGCATCAATGAGAGTCATATCGGACAACGCACCTGAGCAGAGTCATCCAGAAAGAAAGAAGATGACACGGCATGGTAGATAACAGTTGTATTCTGATGTGAACTTTACTGCAGCCCATCAGAATACGAAACGAGATGCCGGTGCATCCATGAGAGTCGGATTCCATCCAGAACATCTCTGAGAGGTCTACCATGCAATGCCGCCCTCTATGACAAATTTGAGAGTGATATGACACACCTTCTTCACGCCCATTCCTGTGAACGCTTTTTACCCAGCACCTCTTCCTCCCTCTCAGTGTTTCCCTTCCTGTTCCTCTGTACCATGCTCCCCCTATTGTATAAGCTCAGATCCTTGCTGGAACGACTCACCTGCATCTGTCATGGTGGCCCTGACCACGCAAGCTCTACATGGGCTCGAGATCTCCAAGTTCAAGAAATGCAGAGCATCGGACTAGTGAGCGTGTTGATGTGGTGCACCAGTCAGTCTCAGAGGTAGGTAATATGTCCGTAATGCCTAACGGCCCAGGAATCTGATAGAGTGCAAGTAGTAATGACTGTGTTGGGACACGTCAAGGCGCGTCAAGACAAAGGCGCTCGACGTGCAATGTCGTCACGTGAGCGCGAGCAGGACAGGATGCGGAGACCAGGAAGACTCACACCTTCTCCCCACCGACACGCCCGTCGCCATTTCAGATCCTCCAGTGTCAGGTCTGCATATCACTCGGCAGCCCTCAGTGAACGGATGTCAGTACTCATCCGAGAGATTGAGAGATCGTCACGGTACGCCTCTTCTCTATTCATTTTTTCATCGGCCAAACCTGCGATGGATGATTCAGCAACCTCCACGTATTCCAATTGTGTTACACACCTCGAGCTGTGCTGTGCGGCAAGTTCGTCGTAGGTGGGCAGCAAGTCGTCGCCACGTTCGTCGTGCTCCGGAAAGACCGGCACGTCATCTTCTGGATACTCGTGCTCATGCTACACGTATGAAATAACGTCTCACATGCGACCGGGCATTCTGAAGGTTCAATAGCTTGACCAGGTCCGTTTTGGCTCAATTTGCTCGCCTTTGATTCGTGATGGACATCGGGATCTGGGAGACATTCGAGGTAAGTCTAGATGGGATAGACAGCTTCTTATTGGTCCATGCGTTCACTGAATGTCGAGCCTCAAAACAGCATGAATTTGGCATGCAGAAGCCGCATAGAGGGGTACACCGGCTGTCAGCCTGCACTATCAGCATTCCACCCTCGACATTCATGTTTCGCCTAGATATTGGTAAGGTCAGGCCCAAGCTATTCTTGATGCTCACTCACCGTCACTAATCTGCTCTCACAATGAGCTAGAGCGCCATCTCTCATGCATGCAGCGTGCCTCTCAACGGGGCCTCCATGAGTTGATTTGCTTCAATGCTCGATTATTGGAGCGTCCACGCCCCTGGTATCTCGAAGCAATGACGAACGTACAGCCAGCCGAGCAAGCTTGCCGCACTTTCCCTTCGCTCAACGGTCACATTTCTGACACGCCCTACTAACTACGGTCGGCTGCCTGAAGGCGCAGCAGTCGCAAATGCGCAAATGTAAATACACTGACCATGAGTCATAATGCCAGTTCAAATAATATTTGATGGTCGCGATTGCAGAGCCATACTCACTAGCTGAGAACTCTGAAATGGTTGTAGGTGCGTACATTTCGTGTGAATATTCCAAGCATGTCTTCCGGTGGGCAACAAAATGACATCGGGACCCAGTTTTGCATGAGATATGGCGTCTGGGCTGCGGATGACGGAGAGCGCGAAGCGCATCAATTGCGCTCCCATTCAGACCGAGATTACCAATGCGTGTCCTGTGCTGTGAGATGGAGACGATTCTGACCACCCGCACGTCTTGTAAATGCTGTGTTGAATAGCCAAATTCAGACGGTGCGGGTCATGAAAGGCAAGCCTTTAGAAGATCTGAACGGTCCGGGTTCACCGGATTGTCAAGCTGAAGTGCGCGCTGAGCAACAGTCCAGAGCGACGTGCGATGTTGCCACAATTCACGGTCATCATGTGCACATGGGCGACGGCAGCGGTGTTTCCCTGAGGTATGTACACATTCCCCCTTCGTGCTTTTACGGTCCTAGCTTATAAAGTCATGCCTGGCATCCTGTCGCATCGTGTTATATTCACTCACTCGGTGAATATCTATGCCGGCAGCATTTGAGAGGCGAACAGAGTCACTTCGGGGAGAATGGCATGGAGGACGTCCGTTTGACGAGTTGCGATGGATCCGACAGGATCGGGGGGATGGATGGGGGTGAGTGAGGGATCATACGGTAAGAACGGCAGATGAAAGAGCTTTTCATGATGTATGTAGAACTTCAATACAATCCTTAGTGCTCGGTAAAGCTATCTAAGCCAGCTTTGGCCGCTATAAAAAGGAGAGTAATAACACTGTCAATGCACCTCTTTATGCCCTATCCACTGTCCCATCTCCAACATTCCACCCGGTCGTCTCCTCATCTAATTGACAGGCATTTGTGTCCATCCAGCCCACAGGGACCCCGGCCAGAATCCGACATGAGGGCGCCTAAACCCACGAGGCGATGTATGCACTGGCCGCTCATATCGCTGAACAGGCGCACGAATGCTCGTCCTCAGTCGGTGGGCGGGCCCGTTCCAAAGGTGTCATGTAGGAAGGTACATGGTGGATAATTCTTGCAGGTTGCAGGGCCAGATGCGGCGGCCTTCACGCTGTGCCCCATGGTCAGCTGCCGCCTTTGGCGTGAATGGGATGGTAGAACACCGCGATCGACCGATCTCTGGAAGACAGCGAGGGATACAAAAGGTATTTCTCGTGCTGTAGATATGAGTCATCAGATAAGCCGCGGTGCACCAGCAAGGGATCAACAGAACACAGACCTGCAAGACTCCCGTGCATATCTCCCACCGCACGGGCTCCCGCTCCGCGTCGCTGCCCACCGCATCCGCGACCCTCGGCGCGAGGTCGATGAACCTATCGCTCTTCCGCTTGAAGAACTCGCCAAACGGACCGGTGCTCCTCGCCTCGTCCATCTCCCTCAGCGTGACGATGCTGCCGTCGCTGCCATGCTCGCCCCCAGAGGCGTACCCCTGCGCGAGCAAGCTCAGGCGCGGCAGCGTGAGCAGCTCGAACGTCGCCAGCTGCATCATTCCCGTCGTCGATGCGAGGTGGATGGGTGTCAAGATAATGAAGAGCGCATAGAGGTACGCAGGCGAGTGGGATAGCGTCAGCAGCCCAATGCCTCCAACGTAGCCGACCAGCTGTGCCAGGGAGTTTTGCGACTCATCTTTCGCAGCCACGTCGCCCATGTTGCCTTGCAGCGAGAAGTAGCGCATCCACTTCATGTGGGTTGTGGACCAGATCTGGCAAAGCAGCAGGCGGTGAGCGCCTACTTGTATCACATCTAGCTAACACACTCACAGCGTACCCGACGAGCTTGAAGATGTTCCCGCCAGCTATATCCAGCTCCATCAGGTCCAACCGATCGTAAAGTGTCTCTTCTCACCTGCACACAGTAGGAAGCTTGTCGGAGTGGGGTGCACCAGCACCGTCGCCATCTGCAGGGCGCTGCCAAACGCGATGACGCCCTCACCGAACAACGCAATGGTCTTCGGGTGGCTGTCGAAGAACGGCGAGAACCGCCGAATGAAGAACAGCTTGGCTATCTCACCCGCGCCGTCCTTGATGATCCACTGCACCGCGACGGCGCCGAAGATGCTTCCCTCCGCGCTTACGCCGACAGCCGACAGCAGCGCCTGGTTGCAGAGCACTGAGACGATGGTCCCCGCCATGCCCTCGACAAACTGAAGCACGTGGAACCACCAGTACCTGTTACGGAGCATCAGCACATTCATCGACGCCCCGTTCGTCTTGAAGACGAGAATGGTGCCACTCACGAGCGATGCACAGACTGCGGGTAATTGGTTGGCAAGAACATCTGCCGCAGCCAAGACGCGAACCTGCCCGTGAAGGACGCCATCATCGATACATCCTGCTCCCGACCGTGAGCAGGGACAGGAAGCTCACGCCATTCCTTCGCCACGCCGCCCTCCCCCCATGAGACATGGCATTCACGGCCCCCGATGCGCTCGACTGCGAATGGCCGTGGCTTTGCGTCGAGCGGCGCGTCGATTCGGCTGGCGTCGACGGCAATTTGTTTTTGAGACTTGGAGGTTTGATAGCTCCGGGAGAGGGAGAGGGAGCGGCAGCCAGGGCAGACCTTTAGGGTCCATGTGAGACGCGTCCGCGTTCGGAGGATGTGACGGCGTATGGGGAGGTGGACCGAAGATTTTATCATGGAAAACAATAACTGGTGCAGCACTAGACCGTATCTCTAAAGTCTCAGCACCTGAAGGATGTGTGCATCCACCAGTCCTAGTCAGAGCTCGGTCGGATGAAGAACATCGTGTAAGAACCGGACCTTGCAAATTCCTCCTCTCAGGCCTCTTCACTCTTGATATGTATACAGTCAAGACCCCTCAGAATTAACGAATTCTAAAATCTCGCTCTATGTTTGACGCGTAGATTCTAACGAAGCGAGCAGCTACAGCAGCAGGACGCGGACGACGACACAGAATCCAAGTAAGGCTCGTGAACCGACTGTCTAAGAGATGTATTCATTCAGAGCGTCATGAAAGCACCACAGCGAGGACGAGGCAGCATAAAGAACCCGCACTGGCGCAAACGTCGTCGCCTAATCTGGGTCCCGGCAACTGGGTCCCGGCAATGCGGGGTCACCACCGGCCCAGCCACGTGGGATTCCTTTCCCGTGTGGCGGATCAGACGGGCTGTTGAGTTGTGGCCCCGATACCCGTGGGGTGGCTTTCATTCCGCGTTAGAAACAAATCAAGCGTGAAGCCAAAGCTACGAGTTCAACTTTCATGTTCTCAAGCCCTTCGTGCCAGGGGTCAGGATGCTCGAAGCTAGGATCTCAAACACGCTAAACACATGGCGCTTGCCAACCGTGTCCAGACGCCCCGCATGAATTATGTTTTGACACCACCTTGTGGTCACCGACATTGCGAAACGCGTCGACGTGCATAATGCCCTTTGTCCCACTCCCCGATGGCAAGATACTGACCACTCCGTTCCAAATAATAAGGCTACTTGCAATTGATCCCGTCTTCTTTAACTCTAGGTTAAGACACCCATCGCCGCGATGAGAACACAAGCTTATTTATGTCACCAGATAAGAAACGTTCGTGGGCGTTGATCACCCTGTGGGCTTTGCGCGGACGTTTCAAGTCAATTAGACATCGGACGATATTGACAGGCATGGAACCGACACTATCTTGTCGTCAGAGCCAGTTTGCATGCTGTTTTCCTCCGCGCGTACTATGCTGCTCCATGAGAAAGACCGAGATCACAACAAGACTTGCACATGCACAAATTGACGTGTTCCATTTGGTCTTGCTCCATTTCTTCGCCGATATTGTGAAGAACGTTAGCCTAAGAGCACTTAAGATCTAAAATGACCTCACACTGTGAGCGATTCCATGGAACGGCCGGCAAGATCAGTCCTGCACCGAGCGGCCTTTGCTTTCCAGAACACGTCGAACTTGCCTCCGTGTCGAATAACCTTTCCGCTGCATAACGGACGGTACCTGAGCCGTTTACACTAGCGCAGTCGGTAGGTTGTCGAGAGGCAGTCGACCCGTATTTGTCGTGGAGTTCACCGGAAGGAGGTGGGCGAAACTGTACGCGTTCGTAGAGTGTCAGACGACCATTAGGCGTGCTCAATTCTTAGAGTTCGGCACGCCAGTTCAGTTCGTCGACCTCAAATACCAAAGGAACGGCGATGCCGAGCAGATGCCGAGAATTACATAAGCAAATGTGGCTGTTGAGATGTCCGGCAGTTAATTCTATCTTTGGGACATTCCTACATTTCTTGTGTGAATTGCTGCTTGTGTAAACCCCAAATTGCGATGCGGACATCCCTGAAAAGAAGACTGCACACCCACAGTCTTCTCACGGTTTGTGGTGTCCAGCTGCAGACAACCTCGGCGGGGATCACAGTGACGAATGGCTGTGTATCTCACTCTCACAAAGTCACAACATAGATGAGGAACAATAATGACATTGACAGCAGCTACTGCATGGTCCTGCATATTGCTGTCATCAAATGTGCTGAGATAGTCTGTGTAATTATTGCTTGGAAGCATTTTAACATTCAGGCTAAGCAACTCTGTGCATACATGTTGCAATCCATGGTAAACCAGAGCACTAGGGAAGGTGCGACAGGAGATGGCAATAAAAATCGAGAAAATGTAAAGCAATCCTTCGGAAATAATCTCGCCACTCCTGTTCCCTGCCTAGCGTTCCCACGAGCCACTTGGCTTACATGATACTCGGCATCTGCTCGGCATCGCCGTCCCCTTGGTATTTGAGGTCGACGAACTGAACTGGCGTGCCGAACTCTAAGAATTGAGCACGCCTATTGGCCCACGTTGACATCATGCGCATATGCTCTGATCCGTATAGCTGTCAGACGTCCATGCAAGCTACACAGCCTGCATAGATTTATTTTTCCATGGGAACCCTGATGCAAAAATATCTTATGTCTGGATATGGAAATAGTTTGGAAATTGGGCGGAGACAATTAAATTATGTTACGATTGTTTTACCGAAACGTATCAGCAATAGTGAAACTATTTCCCAAAGGAAGATATTTCAGTCCAAAAATATGTGATACTGATATGTTTCGGTGAAGCAATTGTAACATAATTCAATTGTCTCCACCCGATTTCCAAACTATTTCCATATCCAGACATAAGATATTTTCACCATTTTTGCATCAGGTTTCCC